CAGCATTGCACGACACAGGCACACTTACCTACATGCAGGCATAACACTCATACACATAAAATAAAAATAATAAAATATTAAAAAAAGAAATTATGGCTCAAGGACTCTAGGAGTCCAGGGTAGGAGTCCGGGGTAGGAGCTCAGGGTTCTTCAGGGTTTTTTTTTTTTTTTCAAGAACATCTGATGAGTCTTTTCTTGGGGCAATACTAAGGCAAATAGCAGGAACTCAGCAATTTCCCACCCAAAGCCTGAGAATCCATGGACATTTGACCTTGTTTCTGAAGGGTTGCCAAAGTCAACACATTGAGCTCCTGGTCAGCAGCACAGAGGGTTTGAGGGATGCTGAGCCTTCTGGTCTACCTCCACTCACCTGACTCCAACTTCCCTGAAGAGACAAGTCTGCTAGAGGGCAGGGGTGCTCAGAAGTCATCTCCTACTTCTGGGACCACCCGCTGAACTTCTTGTTCCTCTTTTATTTCATGGGCAGACTTTCTGTTCTGTCCCCTTTCCCAGCTGTTACCAGCACACAAATTCACAGCCATCTTTGTTGGGTTTGGCAATGACCTCAACCCTGTTGTGCGGGAGTTGACCTCTGTGTCCAGAGACAAGCTGCTTTTTCAGTCAATCCCAGTCACTGAACCAGAGCATTCGTTTGAGGGTAGCTGAATAAAGCTTCTGTCTTCAGAGCTCCGCCTACTGTACACATGAGAGGAGACCTCTGATATAAACCTGGCCCTCCCCTTCTATACCAAGGCCTCCCACTCATTCTCTCAGGCCTGAAAAGTTCAGCTTGTCCCTTAGTACATCCTCCTGTTCTTGTCTACAGAGGTCAGGGACCCCTGACTGGTTCATCAAGCACTTGCAGTTTCTAAGGAGAAAGCTGAGGCTATAGGATAGCTTGGGAAATAAAAATTGCCTCTTTTCTTTCATGGTTCAATAGACCCTCCTCCCTCCAAAAGAATGTCCTCCTTACCCGGGGAAGTACTTCCCTGATACAAGTTCTTGGGGATTAAACACCAAGGAGAAATAAATAAGTAGAAGAGAGTAATATGTTCTGTGGCTTAAGGTGAGAAAATATGATGGACTATAGTTCTCTTAGAACTGTATTGTTCAATACAATAGTTATATATGGTCATTTAAATTTTAATAATAAATAAAATTAAAAATGAAGTTCCTCACTCACTAACTATCCACATTTTAAGTGCTTAAGAGCCACCATGGCTAGTGGCTACCACAGTGTACAGCACAGATGTAGAGAATTTCATCATCATGGAAGGTTCTATTAGGTAACTTAGGAGTCTGGGCTATTTCCCTTGATTCTGCCCATGTGATTTTTCTACACATCATTATGAACTGTATCTGTATCTGTTTCCTTTTTTTTTACAGTGCTAGGAATCAAACCCAGAGTCTCACACACACTAGGCAAGTGTTCTGACTCTGAGCAATATCCTCAGCCTTCTTGTAGTGATGAACATTTTACTGTAGCAGAAACAGCACTTTTAAAGACTGCATTTATAAAAGAAAACCAAAAATAACTGTAGTCCTTGGTAGGAGAGGGAAAAGTTAATTATCAAAAGGTTGCATGTTCCCAAGTTTTCATTCTTCTGTTCCCTTTCCAGGTAGTATCTGTTTTCTTTTCTAAAGACTGTATTGTTCTATGTAAGACTTCTCAAAGTAGAAAGGTAGATCAATTTTCTAAAAGAAAATGGTCAGAATAAAGCTAAATCTTATGTAGGTCACAAAAATAAACAGCGGCACCTCGAAATCAAGCTCAGGGGAAATAAGGAAAAGAAACAGGAAGAAGGGTTGAGATTGGGAGGGTTGGGATGAGCCTGAGTTAGGAATCTGGCTCTGGACATTGGGCCTATAGGGTAAAGCCAACTAGACCAGTTCTCAGCAGTCCTGAGGCTAACAGGCTGTCCAGTGCTCATTAGTTCCTCTGGGTGGCTATTTCTCAATCACAGTCCCTTGGTTCCCATGTTTCAATAGGGATGCATCTTCCACTCATAAGTTCTGTCCTAGGCTGTACGTGTAATGAATGTAACAAAGAATACTGAGTTAAATGATGAGTTTGGGGATAAAAGGACTTTCTTCCTTCTTTTGTCTCTTGGATGGGTTTTATTATCTGCAGTTTCCCTCCCCTAATACCCACCGTGACATCTGTCATGGTTCCTTTAATATCAGTGCTCACCTTTGGCAAAACCAGGGAAAGTTTGCAAGCAATGGAATCAAGAGGTAGAGAGCAGGAACAGAAACCCAGAGCCAGCAGCCACCAGCGAAGGGCTAGGTTGCAACATAAGGTATAGGCCAAAGTTCAGGTGGACAGTAGGAGTAATGTGCAGAAATATCCCAGGGACTCCCATCCCTTGGTCCAGTGGCAAAGTTGTCCTCATTTCTATTATAAATTTCAAACTTTAATCCAGCCTTGAGTTAGCTTTTCAGGTGAGAGCCACAGTCAGTCTGGATTTCCACTTTACTTGACTCCATTCCTTCCCATCTTTCAACTCCCTAGCCCAGAGTCCACATGCTGCTTTGAAAGCCCCTGATACACAATGCCCCTTTTTCTCCTTGTCTTGCAGCTGTCTCCAACCTGGACATCGAGAGCAAGTTAAGCGTATATTACCGTGCACCATGGCACCAACAGCGAAACATCTTCCTTCCAGCTACCAGGCCACCCTGTGTGGAGGAGCTGCACCGCCATGCCAGACAAAGCCTGCAGGCCCTACGCAGAGGTACGTTATGCAGAGGTAACTAATCCCAGACTTGGGCCTTTGGGGAAGAGTCTTGGAGGTTGTGCTATTCAGGGATTATCAGTCCCAACATCTTTTGAGTTGTAGAAAGCCCTTTTGAATGCTCCCATTTCTACCCTGAATGAAATTTGTGTGGAATATCAGTTACACATATTAAAATTATCATTATAGTTACACACATTAAAATTATCATTATAGTCTAAGTATAATCATAGAAATTCAAAAGAAAATATTGTTAACAATAATCTCAATATGAAAATGTAGTGACAACTGCATTAGATGATATAATTAATGAAAGCAGTTAGATGCTTGTGCCTATCAAAAGTGAATTTGAATTAAGAAAAGACAAAAGCCATTCCGAACAAAAACTATGGAGAACTGAAGGAACCCCAGAGACAGAAGCAGAATAGAACTACAAATATTGGTACATTCAGTATATACTATATATGAGGATAATGATACTTTGGATTATAAGTAAAAGGGAATTGGGTTTGGCTTAGAAATAAGTTCTAGGCTTCTTGCCTATAAGAGATTTGGATAAGACATTTGAATATTGTATGGGACCTAGGGCCTTTTCTCATTGAGTGTCCTGTCATGCTTGACTCCTGCCCAATCATTCTAACCACCATAACAAGCCCTTTGAGGACTCTTCTGTTTCTGTTGAGAGTCTCTGAGCTGATCCAATGCCCTTGTTCTATAGAGAGGACATGGAGGCCTAGAGAGGTGGGGAAACTTGTTCAGGGTTGTGTACAGCAGCTTCATTACCAGGACTTGGCTCCGAGCCTCTTATCCCACAGTCAGAGCTCTTTCCCATCTTGCCATATACTATATCTCACAAGAACAAATATTCATATTTATATTTCTTTCACAATATTGAAAGCACCAAAGATAAGCATATAGCAACCCTTGTGGAAACATAGCTTTTTTTTTTTTTTTTTACAGTGGTTACCTTCCAGTGTCTTAAAACCCATTAGAATTAGAGGATTCAAAATGAGCATCATCCTTTAAGAGACCCTAAAATGGAGTATCAGAAGATGGTGTGTCACATTTTCTGGCCTTTAGATTCCTGCTATGGGCATAGGTGGTGTCTGCATTTTCATTGTGTTTGTTTAAAATTTTCTGCACTCATTTTGAGGAATGGTAGTTTATAAATACATAATAATGTAAATAAAATATTTTAATGTATTTATCAAGGTACAGAAAATTCTAATAAGTATTGTTTTCATCCACATGGAAACAATGCTTATTATTATGATTTCTGCCTTTCCTCCTATCATCGTCTTTTTTCCCTTTTAATGAAACAACTGATCTATTACTATCCCCAAAGCAGTTGTTTTAAAGTTTTCCTTTAAATTATTATTAACAAGATATTGTGATATTTATAATGAAGAGTAAGGATGCTTATTGTAATGCTTCTTCAACAACTTTTTTAGTGCAAGGCCCCTTTAGGAAACCTTCCTGTCTACTACTGCCATTCTTAGGCACCCTTCTTATACTATCCTATGCATCCTCCCAATATGCCGTTATAACTGTCTGTCATTACTGACCATGGGCCTGTCTGCCTTCTGCCATTAATCTGTGATCAACTCCAGGACAAGTATGGTGTTTTGTTAATTTCTTTTACTCAAAGCACTTCTCGTGAACCCAGCATATGGATGTGCATGGAGTGGAATGAAATTCTGCAGAAAGCTGATTGAGCATTGATAGCTCTAAATGACTATGAAGGATTTGCCTGATCTCACTAAATACTTTCTTGGCTCCTATCATTAGAGAGCTTGAGTAGCATTAGCCCTTTAGACATCATTCTTTTTATTCTTTTATTATTGCTAATCAGTCCTCCCTGATTAGATTTTTACAGATTCAACCAGATAATACTGAATTGTTCGTAAGCTATCACATTTCACTGCTTCGTCAGGTTTGGATTTAATGTCAGAACTGAAGAACAGCAAGTGCCAATATCACTTTTTTTCTGCGTTTGCTCGGGGGGGGGCGGTGAGAGAGGGATGTGGGGCCTTCTGGGGTTTCATTGGAAGAGTGTGGAGCCTCATTTTGCCCTCTACAGACTGACTTGTTTTGTAGCTGGCTCAATAGCAAATCTTGGGTGTAGTAGTTTTAATAGCACTGCAGAGAGCCATAAACAGGAATTATAGGCATCATAGAATTAAAAACATGCAGTGGTGTAGAATTAAAATTAGAAAGTGACTTAAAGAAAAAAAAAAAAAACTTGTCTAAGAAACAGCAACTTTGTAGTACATCTATCAGCACAATCCACTTCTGCCATCTGGTGGTTGGGAGTAATACCAAACTTTCAGAAAGCTGCCTGGCTGCCCAAGTGTGGCAATGAGCTTCCCTGTGGGGTCTTTATTTGGATAGCTGGAATTGCCTAGTATTCGTGAGGAGGAAGAGGATAATGAACTGTGGGCAAGTGAGGTTGTGTGGCTACAGGTCTGTGCTCATTTTGGGACTGAGTCTACAAGGGGGGAGCCAGGGAACTGAGGTTAAACTTAAAAACTGACTACCTTTGAGATCTACTTAATAGTACCCCCTTCCCCCACCAAACTGTACCCAAGGCCAGACATTCTACTAGACCATAGGATCCAAAGAGAAATCCAATGTGGTTTCTGCCTTCAAAGGATTCCTGGTGTAGTGGGGAGGACAGACAAGTAAGCAGGTAAGGTCAATACAGAGAGGAAAGGTACCTGTCATGCCATGGAGCCTCAGGGAAGTAGCATCTAAATGTATTTCAAGTTGTTTAGAATGCAATGATTCTTTTCCCTTTTCTTAGCAATTATTGAATTCTCAGCACCAGGCACAACATTAAGTGATGCCATCTTTTACGTTCCTAAAACTGAGAGAGATTAATACATGACTATAAAGAGATAATTATATTTTATATTTCCTTTCCTTTCAAGTTTCTGGCTGTGGTCTAAGTTTCGTTGGTCTAAAGGAATAAGATGAATATTGGATAGCAGTTGCAGGCCCTGGCGGACCAATGTTGTCCCTACCTCACCACTAGCGAGAAGTATAATTAAGGAGTCATTAATCTAGGCTTCATACTCCCGGCCTGGGGCAAAAGAAGAGATAAATTTAAGACAGTGTGGGAGAGAAGCCGTTGAAAGGAAAATTGAGCTAATGTCTCTCTTCTAACTCCACCTCCATCCTTTCATTCTTCTTAACCAGTAACACCTGTCTGCTCTGCTCGGTGAATTTAAGAATGTAAAAGATTTTTTTTTTCTTGTGCTGCCCAGTTAGAAAAGTCCACCATTTGCTTGCAGAGAAAAATGAGGGTGGCGCCAAAGGTGCCAAGAACCCATTTATCTCAGTGTTTCTTCTAGGTAAACACTGGCTTTGGGGGCCATTTAGCAAAGACCACCTATGTGATTTTGAGGACTTTACTTTGGTTATGAATGGGAGTCAATATATTTTGAAAGAATCCCGAGCAAAGGAAGTCAAAGAATACCATATTATGTTTTCTTAGCACAGATACTAAGTCTCTGATTTTTAAGAGCGAACTTAGGTAGTGAGAACAAAAGACAGGCAACTTAGAGGGGGAATTCATAAAGCTCAAGAGAGCTCAGTTCCTAGTTTAGGGAGCAGCATATTGAATAAGGCAAAGAAGGCTGGGGCCAGCATTGGGGAAGCCACTTAAAACAAGCAGTAGTGGGTTAGAGAGACGACTTAGCCATTAAGAGTACTTCCTGCTCTTCCAAAGGACCCAGGTTCAGTTCCCAGCATCCACAGGAGGTGGCTTACAACTGCATGTATCTACAGTTCCAGGGGATCTGACACCCTCTTCTGGCCTCTGCAAGCACCTGCAGACATACTACATAGCATTCAGGCACACAAACACATACATAAAATAATTAAGAAGCACCATAGAATGTAGAGAAACATGCAGCCGCTGACGGTACCAACAACAGAATCCATTATAAATATTGAATATAGAGTATGGAATGCATTATGTTTTTCTAAAGCCTAGGCCTTAGTAAAAACATGAATTTGTTCATTCAGCAAGTAATAATTGAAAATCTATTTCACGGGTACTGCAGACCCTCTGATAAAAATATGAAAATAATACAGTCTCTCTGAACTGTACTTTTGTGGCACAGGCTTATAATTCTGGCTATGCAGGAGGATAAGCAAGACAATTTCCAAGTTGAATGCCTGCCTGGGCAGCTTAGTAAGACCCTTTCTCAAGAAAATATACTAAAAGTTTTGGGACTATCACTCGGTAGGGCTCTTGCCTAACAGGTACAACATCTGGGTTCCATCTTGAGTACTGTTAGCCATTAGGAGGTGGGACATAGCTGAAGGAAGTAGGTCACTTATAGGTAGGCCTTGAGAGTTAGAGCCTGTAGGGACCTAAAGGCCCCACCTTGCAGAGGTCCAAGAGGAAGGTACTGGGGCGCGGCCTGACTTGTTTTAAAAGTCTGAAGGATACTTCCACACTGCTGAGGAGTGCATGGTCAGCACTCCTCGGTGGGGGGTGGGGGGCGGGGATTTCCAGGTGCCTTTATAAGCTCTGTAACACCTGCAATAAATGAGTCCCTGCTTGACTAGGCTCCCCATTGTGCCTGAGTGTTCCCGGTACTGGGGGCGGCATGGGCTGGCGAACGGCGCACTTACTCATCCCCAGTCATCACTGCGTGGGGGTTGCTGGCTCGAACCCCCTGCATCTATCTATCTATATACCTATCTATCGTCTATCACCTATCATTTGTCTATCTATATCTCGCACACACGCACACACACACACACACACACACACACACAGAGTCTGCTCCAAGGTCCATCTTGTAGTTTAAGATGCTGAGAAATAACAAAATGGTATTGTTATCAACACAATTATACAAATGAGAATTACAGAGCTTTAGGGTAAAGAGTATCTGATATCACATGAAAGCATCAGCATAGTTATCTCTATGACCTAGCACAGGTTTAAAAAAAAGGCAAATAGTGCACTATAAGTCATAGTGCGATACATGTTTAAGGAATCAGAATACAGTAAACTATAATTATGAACAAATACTGAAAAGTCCAAGAAGTGCAGGTTGGGGAGATGATTCAGCAGTTAATAGCACTGGCTACTCTTGCAGAGGACACAGGTTCGGTTCCCAGCTCCCACATTACAAGGTGGTTAACAACTGCCAGTAACTCCAGTTCCAGAGGATCTAACGCCCTCTTCTGTCCTCTGCAGGCATTGCATGCATGTGGTGCACTTACATACATGCAGGCAATGCACTCATACACATAATCAATCAATCAATCAGTCAATAAAATAATTAAGAAAAGAAAAATCCGATGAGGTATAGATGGCTCTTCTGTGCCTCTAGGCCAAGTAATATCAAGATTAATGACACCAAGTCATGCCTGAGCCACTGATTCCTGCATAGTGACCCACCCTCCCTGAAGCTGTTTCCGCATCTGCAGAGGAGGGGTGGCATTAATGCCCACTATGTGGGGTTGTTGAGAGGATATGTGTGAGGCTTTAGAAAAGCATTTCTGGCACATAACAGTTGCTCAGTAAACACTGGGCATTGTGACTAGTATAACATGTGTACTAAATATTACTAATGTTAAATAGTGGAAAGGCAGGTTCAAAAATTGCCTTCAGCCATTTGTTCATTGACCATGATAGGGTCTCTAGAAACTTCAAACTCTGGGAATGAGTGTAAGCTGTATTTTTCCAGATGGACAGCCTTTAGTATAGGCAAGGTATGTTTCGAGGTTCACAGAGATGCCAGAAAGCTAAATTGTGTTTTAGTATCTCTGTGATATCCATATAATGATATATCTGTGTATTTTTTATTTCTGTGATGCTTAGGATCAAAATCAGGACATAATGCCAGTGATTCTCATTGTGAAGTCAAGGCCACTTTACCTCACATATAGATAGTTCTTAGCATTTCCCCAGTGGTAAGAGTTTCTCCCTGGAGGAGAAAACTGTTGTCCCTGGGGTCGCCTCATTTTCTCTGGGAGCACAAGATTTCAAAGCTCTCTGAGTTTTGGTAGATGGCTATAATGATGTGGTCATTCAGTTTCTTGGAAATAAGGAAGAAAAATAAAATACTCAGTGTATACATTTGTCAATTTCTTTGGTATAAATTTAGCTACCAGAGCTTGCTTTCTAGTATCTATAGTTGAAAAAGTGGCTCATACAAAGTCCTGACTCCATAGTGGTCCCTTCCTGGCGCCAGTGTTCACTCATTCTAACACTGAGGTCTGGCAGCTGTGTTATGTCTGCATCTACTCTATACTCCAGTACTGATGGCATCGAGCCTTTCACCACTGTTTGCAACTGTTTCTTTTTTTTTCTTCCCTCTTATGTTGTATTGAAATGAGGTACACTGAATTCAGAAGTGAGTCATCTTGCACCAGGATTATAAGATGCTCCCATGGAGATGGATGTATCTGCCTTCATATTCACAGCAAGCAATGGTTTTTAGGGACCATTATGAAAATGGCTATGGTATATAAATTAGTTAGGTTAATGTAAGCTCATCTTTTTATAGGTTTTTGCTAATACTTTCAAAGGGGAAAGAGAAATTGAGAATACCAAACGTATTTCATTATTCTTGTCTTTTTTGTACCCTCAGAACACCGGAGTCGGAGTGATCGCCGAGAGCAGAGGGCTGCTGCTCCTCTTTCCATAGCTGCTCCACCACTGCCAGCCTACCCTCCAGCTCATAGCCAGAGGAGGCGTGAGGCAAAGGACCGCCACTTCCTAACAGTAAGCATGGTACTTGCTCTTCTTAGGAGTCAGGTTCCCCTCTGTCCAGTGAGAGAAGCTGAGCTGACTGAAAGAGCAAGTCACGGGCATGTGGGGACTCCTCTCATTCC